CCACAGCTTCCCTGACCTACTTTCCTGGCCCACGGAGACGTCGGTGCCAGAGCAGAGGGAACAATGCAGAGACGCTGTGCTCACAGGGAGAGCCAGGAAGGCCTAAGCGCGAATAAAGCAAGCAAACAAGCTTTGATCTTTAAAAGTGTAAGGAATTTTAATTTAAGAAATAGTGCAACGTCGTGAAAAATAGCAGGACGCTGGGTTTTTTTAGATAAAGTGCACGAATTCTCATCATACATGTGAAATTTATTGCAAAAAAGGACGTGCTTTTAAAATTATGTATTTTGGACAAGCCGGTTGGTAAAGTTGTATAAAATATGTACCCGTGCCTGCCTTCACATCGGCTCACAGGTCTGCCCCGCAGTGCCTCTGGGCGTGCAAACGCACACGCGGGCAGAGGCAGAGGTGGGCTTGCCGAGAGCCCGGCAGCGCTGTCCGGAGGGGCACCCCGGCCCCCTCAGGCACCTCCAGCTGCGCAGGGCCATTTTGCCACCCGGGGGCGAGTGTCCCCGCTCCGCCTGGCGTGAGGACCGAGGGTGCGATGCCGCTCCAGCTCCGTTCAGCTGGTTTGCTGACTATGCCTGCAGATGCCGAGGACCCTGGCGGTCTCGGCCTTCATCCCCGCTCCTCGCCCTCTCCCACCGAGGGGGAGGAACCGGGGGAGGAACCTCTGTACTGCACCGGGTGGGAGAGGGCTGGGAGAAACCAGGGGTGCGGCCGCGTGCAATGCGGCGGTTTGCCTCCAATCGTGCCCGCGCGATGCCTCTCCGAGGCTTTCGGCGAGGGGAACATATGTCCCGCAGTCGCTATACATCACGCAGGTTGGGAGCGGCGCGCGGGACTGCAGCTGTGCGCGCAGGAATACTCAAACGTGAGCACAACCCACAAACATTTGGCAATCGTTCAGAAAAGGAGCTTAATCTGTTTTCATCTAAGCCCGTTTTTCTCTTGCCTGCAACATCCCCACGATGTTGTGTTTGATACTGGATCACGGCGTAGCGTGAAGATGTCAAAAAAAAATATATCCGGGTTGTCAGCAAAAAAAAAAAAGGCCTTTTCTGAGGTATTTTTCCCTGATCAGTGTTTTCAGGGGCTTTCGGATTACAGGCTTCAAGGCCATTTTCCTTTAATCTGAATTAACGTTTTGTTAGTAAAGCAGCACTCTGTCATACTCTAATCTCACCTGTTTCTGTAACAAAGGAAAAAGAAAATAGCTTTTTGTAAATGTATTTCCTACTTATTAGGTCTGAAACAAATATTTAAGTGAAATTCACATGATTTTCATTTGAAAGGCAAAACTTCAGGTTTGCAGTGGGAACAATGTTTGTTTTTTCCAGTAGGGGTAATATCATATCTGTATGGATATTACTTCGTCATAGTACGTGCATATTTTCTCCCTACCCAGCTTTAATTCTTTGCCTAGTTATTCAAATTTTGGAGGCAGGATTCACTAGTCGGTGACTTATTTTACAAATTGCTAGAAAGAAGGATTGTGTGTAACAACGAGAAAAGCAAAAACATTGTAACTGGTAAAAAATACAGCTGCGTGGCTCAACGTGAAAATGGATTTTGCTCTGTGGCTTTTTTTCCTTCTGCGATTGTTTTTAGCTCAAACTCTAACATTCAACTGGCAAATTCAATATATTATTAGTTTTGTTTATTATAAAACGAATAGACTGCAAACAGCATGGGTCTGTGAGGCTCGAGTGGTTCGTACAGTGTGTGCTATAACGTAAGGATATGCCTGCAGGTTTTATACAGATGAGCCTGAAGATTTGCAAGGTCTCGCGTCCTGCCTGCTGTCCTGCTTGCACCCAAAGATAACCCGCTTCCAGCGTACAGGACATACATGCCCATCAAACCCCTAGCTAAAGGCTGGAGAGGAGTTTGACAAATGTAACACTTGGCTTTTAAGCTCATCATTTCTTAGTGCTAAATATTAACTTTGATGCCTAATAATTCATTGCGTTTCTAAGATCCAATTTGGAGCAAATGCGAGCTCGGAAGGCTGTGTAATCGATGGCATTGTGGTTTGTAAACGTTTTATCTCTCTCTTTGTTGCAGGCCATTAGCAGTGTGACATGTAGGCTGAACAGTAATAAATGCCCATTGTTCCTTTTACAAGCATCTCAGAATAACTACGTATATATTTTTATCTTGGTTTTCCTCCCCGGAGTGCTCGGCGAGGTCCCCTTAATGCACAAACCCACCTCTTTTTTACCTTATAAGAATGTCTCTGTCCCATAACAGACAAAGGAGGGGGCTTTGCTAGGCTTTGGGTTATTTGTTAGTGTTTTTTTTTCTTCAAGAGAGTGAAGAAATGAGTCTGTGACAGTTGCGGTGAAAATTTTTGAGATGTGTTTTTCCAAATAAATTCACCTTTGCTGCAGAAAACACTGTTTATAACAGAGCCCTTGGATCAAATTTGTTGATAGTGAGGGTATGTGGCATTAATTAGGAGCGCTTTGCACACCAGGCTTCCGTGCACCTACTCCTGGGGTGGGAGCCTCCGCAGGGACCGCGAGCCCCAGGGGCGGCACGGGCCCGAGGGTCGCAAACCCGTGTACCTGTCCTGGGCGGAAAGCCGCGGGTGCGTGATGCCGAATGTCATCCCGACGCCAGCAGCTACCTGTTAGGTCAAGAGGAATGAACAGTCACTAGAAAGTGCAACTAGTGGCAAAGAGCAGCGTTCAGTCGCTAGCTCAACAAAAGGTGTGCAGCCTTTAAGACGGGTGCATATGTTTCCTTCTAATGTAATAATACAAGTTTGGGATTTTTTTCCCGTAGAAACCTCTGCATCTTTTTATAGAGAAAAATGTTTGGATGAAAAAACAAAAACAACATAGGGTATGTGTATATTTTACGCTCCTAAAGCGAATCTTGTTTAATCTAAAATAGTTTGCAAACGCTGTCTTATATACGGGTTTTTTTTAAGTCAAATGAAATCTAGTGGGCTGGGTATAGGAGTTTATACAGCCGATGGCTCTAAGTCTTTCAGACTACCCGACATATGGATAAACCATGCACAGATTTAGCAGGTCTGTCTTTATGTTAAAACGTATACGTGATAAAAATATATGACTGAAGAGAATTTCTGTGGTTAGCGGTGCTTCATTCTGAAATGCTCCAAGACATTCAATAAAATTACGTTTATTTTCAGAGGATATTCACAATGAATCGATAACCCTTTTTGTCAGAGGGTTTTTGCATACATTTCTCTGCCGCTATGCAATAGACTTGCAACCATTTTTTGCCGGTGCAGGTGTTGTTTATTAAAAGGAGCATAGTCATTGCAGGTGTATATTAGACATTAGCTGAACGTAAAGATATTAGCAAAAAGTGCCTTCTGACTGGCATTTTTGTATCTTTACGTCTCTGAGAGGTCTGTAAAGGCAGATGCGAGGCTGCACACCGAGAAAGGGTTTCAGCCCCAATCGGTCAGAGCCCATTTGTCCATCCCTCATCAGCGATTCTCATTTAGCCTCTCTGGGAAAAAGAGGAATATAGTTTTCTAGAATCAAAAGTTATCTTTAAATGTTTTTAGAAGTATAGTTAAGGAGTAAGGATGTTTTAATTTCTGATTTTCCAGCTCATGGGTCATATTTGACCAACTGCTTTCAGCAGAAGACATGCCACTTTGTTGAGCTATTTAGGAATCAAAAAGACTGTCTTAATTTAAAACAAGGAGCCTTTGTTTTAGTTGGTGACTGCCTTGTGAAATTTTTCAGTTCTCAGCGGGTTAACCAGGGAACAGGGGCAGAGTCATAATTGGCCTATTTAGAGTATTTTGCATGTGAATAGTGTGTTAGTGAAGCATTACTAAGTCTGTTGTGAGTGACATGGTGATTAGAATTTAGATTAGGGAAAACACATTCTGTACTTTATCAAGTACAGTAATTAGTTCAGTCAGTAAAAGTTGATTACAAGTAACGATAAAGTTAGATTTTTGGTACTTAATTTTAAAATTTCTTTATTAAATGGTAAATTTGTTCTTAATATAAATGGTAGTATCTACACCTGTTTTATTGCGTATCAGAATAATTAAAAGAACAATGTGTTCAATGCAGAGTATAATCAGGGGATTTATATATTATGGGTAAGTTTCAACGTAGTTTATAGCAAATAGAACATTACTCAGGAAATTGTTCTTCTGTCATAGTCTCTTAAAGATTTATAATTTTTCTTATAGCACGGGTCCGATAATGTTTTCTGCTGTTGTATGGAAACCATAGTCCTTTCGTAGCTGAGAAAATGTTGCGTTTGCTAGGATGCATCTTGTTAGTTAATGGTACGGGCATAAAATGGATATATTGAAGGTCCTTTGCTGCTGCTGCTGCTATACAATAGCGTTAATTGTTTTTGGGTCTCTGAGGTGCCTTTTTTTCCTGATAGCATTGCAAAAAATATTAATAATGTATAATTTTATTTTAACGTTTTAATCACATATTACGTACAGCCTGCTGTGCAGATTTTTATATTGCAAAATCTGATACATTTAATTCACAGATATTAGTTTTTTCCTTGCACGGGGATAGACAATGAAGCTGTTTCATGCACACTGAAGCAACCGCTCTGTCAACAGCAGGATTTTTTTTATAGTTTTATTATTGTTAAATCCGTGCACTTAACTATCTTGTTTGCAGTGAAGAAACTAAATTACCTTCAAATATATTAATAGAGCTCTAAAAGTTTTTAAAAGCTCCACAAAAGTTTTAAACACCGATTGCATTTGAATAAGCAGGCAGTAAGTCTCCTTTAAATGTAAATAATCGTATTTTAAATTAATTACTTTGTGTTTTCCTAGTAAAGGAAAAGATGCTCAACTGGAAATTTTTGTAATGTCGCCTTTAAAATTTTGGCAGGTTCTTGTTTCCGTGTTTCAGTCGCTTGTGAAGGTTTCTTTGCTGTGTTATTTTTAGGAATGAGAAATAGCTAATGATGAGGAAAGTCGGATTTAACATGCACACGCACACACGTATATATTTTTAATCTTTTAGCAAAGTCTCCTTGGAGGTGACATGGATATTGGCAACCCAGGAGCGCTCTCCCCCACTAAGCCTGGCTCCCAGTACTATCAGTATTCTAGCAATAACCCCCGGCGGAGGCCTCTCCACAGCACCTCTATGGGTGAGTGACTTTGTGTTCAACCTTTTTTTTCCATTTCAACAAATAATCGGAGTTTCGTCCTGTTTAGCACTACTTCGAAATAAATACAATAAGTGGCAGAGCCTACGCGTACGCCGCCAGGACTCTCGGAGGGGTTTAGTTAACGTTAGCTGATTGCTCCTCTCTGTCCTCTTTGTTGAGCGTGCAAGGAGCCTTAAAAAATCGCTTCTTCAAAGCAAATCCGTGTAAGGCGAAAACAAAGGCCCTAACACTCAAGATCAAAATATCAACAATTTTCCAGCATTTGGCTGTCAGACTTAAGAGCGGTGGCATCCACTCGGTGTTACCAAAACTGCTGCAAGCCTGGCATGAGACGGCGGGCAGGGCGATTAGCAGCTGGGTCTGTAGAAAATCTCGGTGCGAAAAAAAAAATAAGCCTGTCTTATGAAGACACCGTTTTGTCTTTTTTCAGAAGTACAAACAAAGAAAGTTCGAAAAGTTCCTCCAGGTTTGCCATCTTCAGTAAGTACCGCTCGTCTGCTCGCTTGCTTGTGATCGCGGTGGCTTTGTTCGGTTGCAGGCAGACAGAAGCGAGCCCGCTCCCGGGCTCGCAGAGCGCTTGGCGCTAAAGGCTGAGGACAAGGTAAGGAGAGTTAAAAAAAATCTCGTCGCTTGTCCCGATGTGGAAGTGATTAATTGCACGGTGGGACGAGCGTGTGCTGCTCATGTGGATTTTCAGCGGCGGACGCTAAAGAGCTGCCGCGGGCGCGGGCGGCGTGTACCTGCGCGGGGCGAGCATCCCTTCCACGTGCCGGTTAGCTTCTTTGTCGGGCTGATGATGATTTATGGGTTCGCATGTTCAAAGAGATGTGCGGAGAGGATTTATGAGACATTTCCATGGGTCTCAGCCCGGGTTGCGGGGCAAACATCTTCATTTTCCCGTGAGGTCTCTGAGCTATGGTACCTGCAGCAGGAGCTGGCTGGGGGTGAGCCCAGGTGTCAACCGCTGGGATCCAGCTGCTGCCAGAGGCATTGTGGGTTGCTCGAGCAATAACGACAGAGCTGGTAATTACCCAGGGTTTCCCCCGATATTTTAAAGGCTATTCCTGCTACCTCGTCGTAAGGAGGGTTACAGATGCCATCCGGCATCACGTTTTTCAGTGTTTATGGTGAAATCTTTGCATCGTGCAGTCAGAAGTTGGTGTTTCTCTTTGGTTTGGTGAAGTCCTTTGTTTCGTGATCCAAATAATTATTCTATTAGTTTTCATTTTTCCATCATTGCGTAAAATCTTTGTGGGTTTTTTCCTGAAAAAGCTGTACCAAGGTGCATTACATCTTTTGAGAGCGCTTACTTTTAAATCCATTAAAATATATATAAAATAGCAGTTTTAAAAGAAATCATACGACATTTCAGTAAATACAGCATAAAGAGTAGTATGGCTCAAGAATGCGTTTTATTCTAGTATTTTTATTCTAATTTTTTCTCCACCATTACTTTAAAAATACATAATACATATTTTCGTATAAATATCTGCAAAGAGAAAACAAACCACTCAAGAGGGGAGAGCTTCCTTTCATACCTGATAACTCTATTTGTTTTATCTCTAGATCTGGTTATTAGGAGGAGCTGAGTGGCAATCAATCTTGCGGAATATATAACGAATTGGCGTGTTACTCTCAGATGGGTTTTGTGTTTTTACCATAAATCCACGTAAATTTGCAGTTTGCAAACTAGCATACTTTTAAAGCTGCAGTTATTGTAGTGACTGTGCTAAACAGTAGTTTCATTACTGGTCACTTTATAAATAATAAAATTTTAACCTGAAAGAGAAAAACACATATGAGGATCCTAACTTAATCGCACGGATTATTGTAATCTTTATAATGTTAAACAAAACAAGCCATACATCTTTTTTGTACGATGTTGAAATATGGAAATTCTCAAATGCAAGTTTCCAGTAAAGTAATAATACTATTTTTTTTTTAATTAAAAATAAGTTTCCACACATGTATTTTAAATTTATTTCACTATGTGTTTTTTGGTTTTGGTTTTTATTGGACGCCTTTACAGCAATAGCTAATATCCTCCCCAAAGGTTTTTATGAGTACTATTATGCTTGAAGTTAGAGGTGGATTTAATTTAGGTGAAACTTTAGCTTTTAATAGTTTTTCTGACAACTTCACATGATAAATCCCTCCCAGCCCTTTAGAGGTGGAGGCACGGCAGTGCGTAGCAGGGGTAATACTGAGCGGAGCCGAGCGTGCTGTGGCACCGCAGAGCACCTCTGTGCCGCAGAGCCGCCGGCACGCTGCGAGGCACCACGCTGGAGGATGCAGCGCCCTGTTCTGCATGCGCCTGGCACCAGCCGGCAGCGAGTTCAGCAGTTATTTGTGGTAGCTCAGGAGTTGTGCCGGGTTTTTGTTCAGTCATTTGCGGGGTGTGTGTGGGGGAACCCCACCCCAAACCTGCATTTTGTATCATTTAAAATACTGCTCTGTGGACAGGTGACCATCTCGGGACATCTACATGCACATTTTTGTGTCCGTGTTATAAAAGATACTTTCAGTAAAATGGTACCCGCTATCTGCCCTCGCTGCGTGGGGAAGGGTGGCAACGTTTCTGTTGGAAATGTCAGCGTGCAGGGATTTGTAACTGCTGCAAAAGTTTTTTATGGATTGCTTCTTGCTTCGAAAGAATGAAAGGCAATTTATGTTTGTCGCAGATTAGTCTCAAATGTGTGCTTCCTTTAATTTTTTGTGAATACAGTTGTTGTACAGAACAGAAATACTTCTACAGCTCAATACTCTCAACTATTTTAACAGTATTTTTATTTTTAAGCCAAATTATCTCAAAGTAGAATATGCACTTTAAATACTTCAGATTTTAATGACCTGTACAATTTATTAGAAAATAAAATATAAAAAGGTATTCCTGAATATTTTAATTGCCCATAGCTCCGTCCTCCAAGAATAAGTAAATTAAAATACAAGTCCAGTAATGTGAATACAAGAGTAGTATGCTTCTGAAGGAAAGACGGCCTTTTTTAAGTGAACATACAGATAGGTATTTGGGTCTTGTTGTCTTCGTATATCATGAATCATACATTTCATTTAAATTGTGCTGCTTTAGAAAAGGCACCTGTGTGTCTCAAATAGAACAAATACCTTATAAAAGGTCAGATTATATTTAGGTTATGGATCGTGTCGCACTGAACTGCCAGGATTTATGATGCTGAATGAAGTATATGCATTTATAAGTTGACTAACTAGATTATAATATACTTAGTTGATAGGGTGGAAATATTGCTGTATTTCTCTTCAAATATGTATATTAACTTGTTCTCAATGTGATTTATGCAGCGGATATGGAGATTAATGCAGCAGCGTTTGTAAAAGCAGTTATTGTTGATTAATTCATAAGTAGTCTTATAAAAATTTCAATGATAAATGGTAATAAATATGTTGTATCAGCTCCCCTTTATTATAAGAAATGGCTACGAGTTTGGAAAACAAAGTAAATTAAACCGTGGAAACAATCAGGGTTTAAAAAATAATGAAGATTTGAACTAAATTCGGAGTCGAGAAGGTGAGACTCTTCCAGGGGTGCTCGGGGGGGTGGGGTGGGGTGGGGTGCATCCCAGGCCAGGCTGGGAGCGGCCCGCCCCGGCCGGGCC